ACCCATAGAGACCCCAAAGTGCCCCACAGTGCCCCATAGCAACCCATAGAGACCACATAGCGACCCATAGATACCCCATAGTGACCAATAGGGACCTCATAGAGTCCCACAGAGACCCCATAGAGACCCCATAGATATCCACAGAAACCGACAGAGACCCCATAGATGTCCACAGAGCCCCATGGAGACCCATAGAAACCCATAGAGACCCACAGAGACCCCATAGGTACCCTTAGTGACCCATGGAAACCCATAGAGATCCCATCGAGACCCCACAGTGCCCCATCGAGACCCACAGAGCCCCATGGAGAGCCTATAGGTACCCACAGAGCCCCATAGAGACCCCATAGTGACCCACAGAGCCCCATAGAGACACACAGAGACCCTATAGGTACCCACAGAGAAACATAGAGACCCATAGGGACCCCATAGAGACCCACAGAGCTCCATAGCGAGCCATAGTGACCTATAGAGACCCCATAGAGACCCATAGGTACCCACAGAGACCCCATAGAGACCCATAGGTACCCACAGAGACCCCATAGGTATCCAGAGAGACCCCATAGGTGTCCAGAGAGACACCACAGAGCCCCATAGAGCCCCATAGAAACCCATAGAGATGCATAGTGACCCCATAGAGACCCATAGGGACCCCACAGTGCCCCATAGCAACCCATGGAGACCACCAGAGACCCCCCCAGGCCCCCTCCCACCCTCACGTTGGTTCTGGTCCCACTCGTGGCCCCACGTCCCCGTCAGCCTCCATAGGGCCGGAGAGCGGCACCCCATAGCTTGTGGGGTCAGGTGTCACATGACCACGTGTCACCACGTCTGTCTGGCACCGTGACCGTGTGTCACCGCTGTCACCACGTGACCCCATGTCCCCATTTGTCCCATAGACCTCCAGTACTCCTCATATATCTCCATATATCCCCATATGGCCCCATATATCCCCATATAATCCATATACCCCATTTAACCCCATACATACCCATTTAACCCCATACATCCCCATATATCCCATATGGCCCCATTTAACCCATATGCCCCATTTAACCCCATACATCCCCATACAACCCTATACATCCCCACATATCCCCATATATCCCCACATGGCCCCATATACCCCATTTAACCCCATACATCCCCGTACAACCCTATAAAATCCCACATATCCCCATACACCCCATACACCCCCATATAACCCCATAAGCTCCCATATATCCTCATATGACCCCATAAGACCTCATATACCCCATGAATCCCCATATAGCCCTATATGACCCACAATTCCCCATAAATCCCCACACATCTCTATATGGCCCCATAAGTACCCATACAACCCCCTATATCCCCATATAACTCCACATGACCCCATATCTCTCTTTACAGCCCCATATATCTCCATATGATCCCATACATCCCCTTATATCCTCTTACAGCCCCATATAACCCCATATACCTCCATACATCCCATATAAGCCCATATAGCCCCATATGACCCCACATGACTCCACACATCCCCATAAGTTCCCGTATATCCCCATAAGTTCCCGTATATCCCCATAAGACCCCATAAGACCCCATATATGCCATAAATCCCCATAGATCCCCATCTGACCCCACACGTCCCCATATATCTCCATACATCCCTATATGGCTACATAAGTACCCATATATCCCATAGAACCCCATACATCCCCATAGATCCCCATATGACCCCACACAACCCCATAGATCCCCATAAGACCCCATAAGTCCCCATACATTCCCCTATATCCCAATGGGACCCCACAGGACCCCATATATCCCCATATACTCCTATACATCCCATATAACCCCATACATCCCCATACATCCCCATATATCCCCATACATCCCATATATCTCCATATGACACCATAAGACCCCATAAGACCCCATACACCCCCATACATCCCCACACACCGCATATATCCCCCTATGACCCCATAAGATCCCATAGGTTCCCATACATCCCCATATAACCCCACACATCCCATATATCCCCCTATGACCCCATAAGACCCCACACGTCCCCATACATCCCCATATAACCCTACACACCCCATATATCGCCATAAATCCCCATCAGACCCCATACACCCCATAAATCCCCACACATCCCTGTATATTCCCGCATATCCCATACATCCCCGTATATCTCCTCCCTGATTGGCCAACGAGAGATGTCTCCGCCCATTCAACTCTAAGCCGTGCGCTGATTGGTTAGAAAAAGCGGCGTGGTGACGTCATCACGCCCAACCCGGAAGTAGGACGGCTGTGGCGGGAACGCGGCCCTGAAGAGGCGTGGCCCGAATTGGGGCGTGGCTAAGCGGGGTGCGTCCCAGCGGATTGGAGGAGAGACAAAAGGGGCGGGGCTCCCGGTAGGAGCGAAACAGGTGATTGGGTAAAAAAAGGGAGGTGGGCGGGGCTATGCGTGACCACGCCCACACCAGGCGGCCATGGCGGCGGCTGCTCCCGGCTCCACCTCCCCCCCACGGGGGGGGTCCTCGCCGCCCCCAGGTGAGGGGGGTCCCAAATCTGGGGGGGGGGTCCTGAGTTT